CTGCCTCCAGGGTGGGCAGCCTTCCTCTCCATCCTGGCTGACTGTGGGCCACAGCAGCTTTTCATCCAGGGTACCAGGTTGGCTCGTGAAGGGCATCCCCTATGTAGTGGAACAGCAGTACCCTTAAACTCGGGCTGCTCCAGATTTGCCCTGATTCCAAGTCACTTGCCTGCACCCCTCTCCCAAAGCTCAGCTGTATTTAAAAAGATGCAGTGAGGGTGAGGGTGTATAGCGCTCACGCTCATGTCGCCAGGACCCTGAGTTCAGTCCTCGGCCCTGCAAAAACAGCAGGGCAGAAACAAACAACAAAGAAAAAGACAGCTCATTGTGCCCCAAAATCCGTAGCAAATTTTGAAGATAACAGGGCTGGAATCATAGCTCATTAGCTGAGTGTTTGCCTCAAGTGTACAAGACCCTGGTGTGATCCCCAGTGCTGAAAGAGAAGGAAGCAGAGAGAAAGGAGGGGCGGGAAGAAGATGAATATGTAGCAGCTAAGGATAAAAAACAATTTAGGTGTTTTAATTCTAAAAGCTGCCGGCCTGCAAAGAAATAAAAGGATACAATTAATCAGAATGAAAATCAAATGAAAGAAACAAACCCTCAAATAGCAAAGCTGATGGCGTAAGCAGAGGTATTCAAATAACTCAGAAGTTTGTTGCACATTTAAAACCACAGAGGAAAACATGAGCATGACCCCAGGTGACATGAAAGATAGAAAACAAGACTGAAACAGAACTTCTCAGATGACAGCCGCAGGTGCCGAAAGGAGAGCTGCAGTAGGGCTGTCGGAACAGGCGCCAGTCCAGCGGAGAAGACGCGGGAGCTTGAGGTGCGGCGGCAGGACCCACCCTAGCCCGGCACCAGGCGGCAGTCACAGCGCCAGTGACCGAGGGGCGCGGGACTCCTGCAGGTCCAGAGGAGAGACAGGCGGCTGAGGAACAGCCAGAGCTGATGGAAGCTGTAACTCACAAAACTAAAAAATCCCAAGCACATCAGACAGAGAAAACCATCGTAATCATACTGCTTAAAACCAGTGGTGTAGAAGAAAAACCTTAAAAAGCAGCCAGAAGAAAAGATGCCAAGCGATAAAGGTAGTGACAGCGTCAGACTTCCGTCCAGGGTCGTGTGACCAGAAGGTAGCACCCTCGACTTTACTGAGAGGAGGGACCTGTCAGCTTAGAATTCTGTGCCTGGCAAAAATAGCTCTCAAAAACCAAGGTGCAGTGAAGAGTTTTGTTTTGTTTTTTTGCCAAGAAAAACTAACAGAATTTATTGTTAACAGAACTACACTGCAAGAAATGTTAGAGTGTGGGAAAAAATGGTATCAGATGGAAATTTGTACACAACAGACTGAAAAGAACTAGAAATGGGCGGTAGATTAGGGTTTTATTTTTAGTCATGTTTTAAATTGACTATTTGAAGCATAACTGTTGTGTGGCTTTTAACGCACGTTACAGGTGAATCAATCACAGTAGCATCAAAGGTGGAAGGGAGAAGTGGAAATGTGGTGGTGTAGGTCCTGCACCATCATAAATTAAAAATGTTCATGGTGTAGGGGGAGAGATGTGAGCTGCCAGCATCATAAGTGTGAGGTGGTTTGTCACTGGAGAGCGTGTGGACATTCAAGATGATAAGGATTGCCACGAATACTTCCTGTCAGTTGGTTTGATAATTTATTTTTTTATTTTGGTACTGGGGATTGATCTCACAACCTCGAGCTTGTCAGGCTAAATCCCTGGCCAGGTTTGATAATTTAAAGGAACACAGTTAACAAGAGCTCTCAAGAGATGGAGAACCCACAACTTCCTGTATTTCCTAAAGAAGTCAAATTTATAATTAAAATACCTCAAAGTGGCTTCACTGATAAATTGTACTAAACATGTAAGGAAAAAAGTAATCTGACAAAAGATTCAGAAGTTGAAGAGGAAAAACTACCTTTTGAGTCTGCCTGTGAGCCCAGCACTGCCCTGGGTGACTGGACGGACAGAGGGCCCCATGGACAGAGGACGTTACCAGAAAGTGAGGTGCACAGTACCTGCCAACACCCCGCCCATAGCAGCCATGGGAGTCAGACAGGCTGTGTGTGAAGACGTGGCGGGGTCCCCTCACCTCCCAACTGAAGGTGGGGTCCATGCTGGCAAACCCATCCTGTAGCCTGCTCTGCGCTTAGACCGGGGAAAAGCCACAGCATCACAGGCAGAGATGTGGATGGCCTGGGTGGCAGGTGCCGGAGGGGGTCACATGGCCTCCAGGTAGGGATACCTGGAGACGGGGAGAGGACAGAGGGACAGAAGTGACTTTTGAAAATGTAGTGGCTGTGGCTGGGGATTTAGCTCAGCGGCATAAGCGCCTGCCTTGCAAGCAGGCAGTCGTGAGTTCGATCCCTGGTACTGATAAAAAGGACAAAGACAAAAAAAAAAAAGAGAAAAAGAAAATGTAGTGGCTGAAAAATGTCCAGAAACTATGAAAGACACCAAACCCATGCAAGACTCGTCTCCCCCCCATAGAAGGAGAATCAGAAAGGAATCCGTGCTGCCCAAACACCCAGCTGCGACTGCAGACAACCGGAGAAGGAGAAGCTTAGAGGTGTTCAGGGGAGGGAAAGTGGTTTTAACGGACAATGAAAATACCTTGTGTCAAAGCCTGCAGACCGTAGTCAAAGCTGTAGTTAGGGGGAAGTTCGTAGTATAGAAGGCTGAAAATAAGTAGGCTAAACAAGGTCAGTAAAAAAGTGGACCCCCAAAAGTGTAAAGGAAGTGGAAAAAATGACAAAACGAGTGGGGTAAAAGTGAACAGAGCACTTGTGTAGAGAAGCTGATGTGGGGCTGGGGGCTTGGTGGGGACCATTGCTCCGCCCCAGAACCATGAGGAAAGAAAGAAAGAGGATCATACGGATTTTGGAAATAGCCTCATGCCAGTAAATCTGAAATTTTACATGAAATAGACAGATTTATTTTTTATAGTTTTTTTTTTGTACTGGGAATCAGACTCAGGACCTTGTGCTTGCCAAGCAGGTGCTGAGCTATGTCTCTGGCCCCTGTAGTTTTGTTTTTGCTTTTGCTTTTGTCTTCTTGAGGTGGGTCTCATTATTCAGTTTGGGTTTACTTTGATCTCACTCTGTAGCCTAGGTTGGTCTTGAACTTGCAACGATCTCCTGCCTCAGCCTCCTGACCGCTGGGATTACAGGTGTGCGCCACCATGCCTGGCCCCCACAGATTTTTATTAGCACATTTGTAACATAATTCATTCATCATGACAAATTTCTTGAAAACGTGACTTGCTAGAAGCCACTGAAGAAATACGAAGCCTTCGCTAGCCCCGTAGCCACTGGAAATGTTGAGATTTGGAGAAATATGAATGAACGTGCGGGCGAATGTGTATTAACAGCATACCATGAGACTGCCTAAAATGACTCCGGCCGTTTTTCTTGAGTGTAAGAGTGAAATCTGTGATTCAAATCTGCAATTCCCTTCTTGGGGGCCCCAGTGTCCTCATAAGAGGCCTCAGTGGGGGGACCCAGGCAGGGCTCCTCCCTCTGTGTGTGCTGTCCAGCACTGCCCATCCCACTGGACACTTGTGACAGGCCTCCTGCGTCAGTGTTGAAGTTCCAGGGGGTGGGCAGAGGCCTCCTCAGCTGTGCTGGGGTTGGGTCCAGAGGTGGGCATCGAGTTTTCAGGGGATAGGCTGAGTCCCTGCTCTCCTCGGCCACTTGCTGCCTGAATGTTTGCAGGCCATTGGGCCAGGTGGGATCAGACCCGGGGACCGAGTGGAAAGAGAACCATCGCTTGGTTCCCAAGTCAGAGCTCCATTGCAGGGACTGTCAGAGGTCAAATCTCAGGATTCTCCTCCTCCTCTGAAATTCTGTGTGAGAGTGCTTAGGCTTAGGGGCCTGGGGATGTAGCTCAGCGCTACGGCTCCTTCGGGCAAGCACAAGGGCCTGAGTTTGATTCCTGGTACCAAAAATAAAAAAAATTTTTTTTAGGAGCGCATCCCATGGCTGATCAGCTAACAGGAGTTAATGGCTGGCAAGTTTGTTTGAAAATGTTGAGCAACAGAAATTCTCTCACATCCCCCTCCAAGAGTGTAAGGTGTCATAGCTGCTTGGGGAAATGGCTTGGCTTCATGTGGCAAAAGCTGAGCGTGCGCTCACTCAGCCACCCAGCAGCAGCCATGCGCCTCGGCAGGTTCTCCAGGGAAGTTGGACCTGCGCTCGAGGTGGCATCTAAAGAGACCCCAGCAGGGCTGGTATTCGCGTCACAGCGCAGACTGCCCGGGGCTGGGAGAATGGCTGCCTGTGAACGGTGTAGTGGGTCACAGGAATGAGAGTCAGCTGTCCGTACAGCAAGCACGGTGCTGAGCCACTGGAGGAGCAAGAGAACGTATGCAGTGCTGGGTGCAGTGATGCACTCTGCTAGCACTTGGGGGGCAGCTGCAGGAGGATGTGGAGTTCAGGGCCCGCTTTGCCTGTACAGTGAGATCCCGTCTGCATCAGAACAAAACAAAAAGGAACACATGCAGTGCGAGTCCGTGAATGTAACATTCAGAGGCAGTCGGCATTGGACAGTGTTGGGCTGCTCAGGTGGGTGATGACCGCCTGAGGCAAGACAGGAAATGACAGCAGGACCTCGAGGCAGTGGAGGCACAGAGTGCAGGCACAGAGGAACTTGGGGCCTGCAGAGGCCCAGCATCCTGGGTTCCAGCAGTGCCCGAGTCTGTCTGTCTGGGGCTCGTTCCAGGGTCTGTGGAGTGAGCTGATGAAACGGTACCGGCAAGTTCCTGACCTTTACTGTGTGTGTGTAACATTTTATGGCAAAAGTGAAGAGTCAGACTTGGTAAAGCATGCCCAGATCAAAAGAAGTGGACAGTCCAAAGCCTGTGCATGTGGGGCGGTTAGAATGTGTAGCTCCCTCAACGTTCTGTGGAGATGTGCATTTTGAAATTGTCTTGAAAGCTTCTTGGTTTTCCTGGATAAGAGTTGACCGAGTGCCTTTGCCTCCTAGGAAGGGCTCCAGTGTCTGCCCAAAGAAGGGAGGTGGCCGGCCACACGCCCCTCTGCTAACACCTTCCTCTCCGTCGACTTCGGTAGATCTCCTGACAGCGTATGACACACAGGTATGTGGCTAGAAAATGCTAATTGTGTAGATTTCTCTCTTCATCTGTTACTTTTTGGTTTTGCATGAATAAAAGGTAATCAAATCTGAAACTTCCTGAACTTACTCATTTTTGGCTTTAGCAGTTTTTTTTCTGTTTTTTTTTTTTTTTTTTTTTTTGGTGCTGGGAATTGAACTCAGGACCTCACACTTGCCAGGCAGGTGCCACACTACTGAGCTAAGTCTCCTGCCCCAGTTTTCTTCTTTTATAGTTGTATTTGAGACTCTTTTACCTACAGTGAAGGTGAGTTTTGGTTTGTGTCTGACCTGATCTATCTATCTTTCTTTCTTTTTTTCTTTCTGAGACAGGGTCTCACTATGTAGTTCAGGCTGGCTTTGACCTCACTTTGTAGCCCAGGATGCTCTCAAACCTTGCAGTGAGCCTCCTGCCTCAGCCTCCCAAATGCTGGCATTACAGGCATGCACCACCACGCCTGGTTTATTTTTAATTTTTTCAAACCAGCTTTAAATTCCGAGAACAACAGACAGGATACCAATGGCCTGGGAGTGGTTTAATACGTGGAGAGGCCACATAGCAGCTGATACCCTTTCTCAGAGGCCAGCCCAGCTGGCACTAAAAGGCGGGTTGCCCTCCAGGGGGTCTCGGCTTGTGATTTGTAAGCCCTTTGCTCCTTACCCATCTTTCTCTAAGAGTTTGCAAGGAAACAAAGTACCCGCTTTGTAATCTGTACATTATGATTGAGTGGTATTTTGTACTTGAAGTTAAGAACCTGCTACTTAATGTGTCAGAACATTCAGATGAATGTAAGCAAGGTTTGCAGCTTTTGTGCCCAGGTGAGATTTAACAGCTTGCTAATTTGGATGAGCTGAAAACTAGCAGGAGGACTGCTGTTCTTGTTGCATTTGTAGTCAGGGCACCCTTGGCCATTTGGTGTTTCACGGCTGTTTGAGGCAGGCCCTGCAGTCCGCCGCCAAATCTCAGGGCCTCTTGGTCTTGCAGCCCCACCTGTCTACCTTACACCTTGTTTGTTGGGGGTCCAGGCTGACTCTTTCCACGGCCAGGGTTTCCCTCCTGCCATGGCCCTTTCCCTGGAACATGAGCTTCTGCCTCCACTTTCCTTGTGAGTGGCATGGACCTGGAGGCTCAGGGTCTTTGCCGCTGTCCAGCATGACCTCGGGGCAGGGACCTGTGTCCTCATCCCATGATGCACAGCCCTACAGAGGATGTCAGCGGCCAGGCCTCTGTGCCTGGACTCTTGGCTGTTGGCGTTCGCAAAATGGCGGTGGCCTGTTGTTGGTATTCTTCCTTGCTTCACAGAAGTATTTCCGTATTATTGGGGCAGGGCTTCCCTCACTGATCTTTGGTTATTCCAGGGTTAGTTCAGGGTGGGGAGAAGCCTGGTTCCTGCTCTCATTATCTGTTCTTGGCTGGATGACTCTCCAGCTGCCCCAGCGTAGCCAGTGAATGGGTGTCATGGCGAGCGCTGGCGTCTGTCGAGTGTGAAATGCATGGTGTATCCCGGCCGGCTGCAGAGCTCCTAGAACCAGCCCGCGTCTCTGCCTATCTGTGCTGTTCCCGCCTGGACCGTGAGCTGCTCTTCCTCAGAGCGGCTGTCTGTCCCCCATGTAGGGACGCAGTATCTGGGGGTCACAGCTGGGCTGTATGTGATGTCAGGTCAGAGTGAGGTGCTGTCCATAGATGCCGAGTCATGTGACCAAGGGGGACTGGCCTCGAGGGGCCTGAGGGGGTTCTGTCTTCAGAAAGGTCGGCAGAGCAGGCTCTTGGCAGCTGTCAGCTGTCAGCCTCGTAGGTTTGTCTGCCTCTCTCCAGCTCTGTCTTCTAACAGGGCTGGAATACATGGCTGTGCCCTGCCTCGGTGCGTGGGCAAGTCTGCCTTCCTCTCCCCATTACTCTCCCAATCCCAGCCCCAGGTGCACAGGGCAGCAGGTGGCAGGAGAGCCATTAGTGTGCCAAGGACTTGTGTGGATATGCTTCTGGGCAGCATCTCTCACGCGCACACCTGACAGTTGTGGCTTTTGCCTCTTTGTTTTTGGTGTCTCCTAGATAGTGCTTCTTGCTTCCCAGCTGGGTATTTGGCTTGTGTTTTCTGCAGACAGGTTATGTTCCATCCTTTCTTGCCATCAGGAGCCGTGGGCTTTATTATTCTGATGCTTCTCTTTTTTGGTTTCCCTGGGCTTTCCAGGCCTCTGGACACCCTCTTGTCAGCAGTTGTACTTTGAGGGCGGTACTGGGAATCGAATTCTGGACCTCGTGTTTGCCAGGCAGGGGCTGAATTATGGAGCTACATCCCAGCCAGCAGTTGTGCTTTGTTTCCAGTTCCTGGGCTCTGATTAAAATGCAGCTCAGCTGAAATCGTGGGGAAGGCGAGCCCTTCGAGTAACTGGCAGAGAGGGGAGGCCCCGGGCATTCTGCGCCTCCTCAAGCCAGGCGTCTGAGCGGCTGCTGAGGACGGAGCTCCTGCAGCTCCCTCCTCAGATCAGAGCTGTCTTTCAGTGGAGTAAAATCAGGCCTCAAAATACAACAAAGTCAGGCCTAGAAACAGCTACAGTAATTCACCCGAAGGAAACCGAGTCCCTGGAACTCTGGAACTGAGTGCCAGGCCTGGCTGGGACACTGGCCTGGGTCATGGCTTCTGTAACTTCTGCCGTGGCTGTGCTGCAGGTCCCAGTGTGCCGGGGCCACGTGCCCCTGAGTCACAGCAGGCCCCTCACAGTCACTTCCTGTGCTTGCTTCGGTCAGCTTGTCTGTGTTGCATTCAGCAGCGCACTTTCTTCATGGGCTCGGAAGCAGATCTCTGTCCCCTCTGGGTGCAGGTGAGGATGAGAACGTGAGGTGCAGGTCATGGCCTCGGCTTCCTATCACCCAAGTGACCTGAGGTGCCCCCCAGAGCTGTCTGGGCTCAGTGTTGGCGTCGTCACTGCCCTGAAGCAAGCCTGGAAGGTTGCCTGCACAGCCATCTTTAATGGCTCGAATGGTGCCAAGCAGCAATGCGATAATTATGAATATTACGGAACATAATTAATTTGTAATTGATATGCCCAAGTGTGAGGACAAAGGTAGACTCTAACTTCCTATCCCAGGGTACAGTCGAGAGAAACGAGGTGTTTGTGGTTAGGTGAAGAAATCTGATGAGGTCCCGCAACGCTCTAGGACGTGGCTTTGCTGGTTTCTCCCTGCTGCTTGCGCATGGTCTGCAGGTGGAATGTGTGACACCGGGGCCCCTGGTCCAGCCCCTGCAGAGTGCGAGTGACCAGCTGCAGCTCAGCTTAGAAACCCCTGTTACAGAGATTTCCCTGTGACACAGCTGAAATCCCTGAAGCATAACTTTCCGTTTCGGGAGCTTCCTTCTCCAGGGGTCTTGGTTTGCAGAGCTTTGAATGAGGCGCTTCGAGCCCTGGAGCTGTGCTCAGAGGATCCAGGGCCCTGCCCGGCTTTGGCCCAGCAGTCACCAGAGCCCCTGTTCCCCATGGCCTCTGTCCTCTTCAGTTTCTCTGCTTTTCTTTGAAAACATTTCTCCCCTAGACTTAGTTCTTCACAGACTGCTGAGTCTTCTCTCTGCTTTCAGCTTTCCTTGGGAAACACTTGGGCAGCACACAGAGCATGGCCAGGCAGGGAGACCTGGTCTGGGCCAGAGAGGCCCTGGAGTCTCAGCTCTCTGCTTTCTTTTTCTCACTGAGAAAATATTTTTTTATGTTATAAAAATTGAGGTGAAAAGTCACGTGATCTAAAACTTGCCTTTTACACAGTGCAGGTGTACACTTCAGTAGTTTTCATGCATGTTCACATCATGTGGCTGTCATCGCTGTCTCACTGCAGAGCGTCCATTGCTCCTAGAGGAAGCCTCACCCCACCCCGGGTGGCTGATCCCCTCCCTAGCTGGCTCCTGGCAGCTGCAAGTTTCTCCTGCCCCTGGCTTGCCTGTTCTGGGCATGTAGCGTGCCCAGCAGCTTCTGGGAGGTGACTGTCACCAAGCACACCCTAAGGTTCCCTCCCTGTTGCCGTGTACATCAATGCTTTTGTCCTTTTTTCTGGCCAAATAATGTTCCCTCTTGTAGGCACAGCTCATCTCTGCTCACCAGCGAAAGCACACCTGCTTCTCTGCTGTCTGTCTTTACAGGCAGTGCGCCGTGGATGCCGCCAGCAGGGGTTTGTGTGAGCCGCAGGTGTTGTGTTTATTCACTCAGGGCACGTGGAGGGGGATGTTGCGGGTCTGTGTGACTTGGTGAGGACCCGCAGAATGGTCCCACAGCCCCCGCCCCATGTCCATCCCCGCCAGCAGTGTGTGCAGTTCCCCTCTGTGTCCTTGCCTGCGTGTGCAGTTTGCATTTTGTAAAATTTCACTCATTCTGTCTTTGGCTGCTGGTGAAATGATGCCGGGGAGTTTTTTGTAACAGTTTTAAAAATTGAGGTGAAACTCACACAGTACACACTGACCTGTTTAAAGGTAGCATTGGCCCGTGGGCTGAGTTGTGTACCGTGACTCTCTCTGGCCCCAGACCCCATTCATTCCCTGGCAAGTGAAGCCCACGCCCAGCAGGCTGTTGCTGAGACCCCGCCCATGGCCCCTGCATCCTGGCCGCTCTGTGTCTGTGGATTTCGATGTTCCGTGGAGCTTTTTGTGTGAATGGCGTTGTGACTCAAGTGATGGTTGTCTGACTCAGTCTGATGTTTTCAGAGCTCATGGTGCAGCCCAAGTCACCACTTCATCCCCCTGTGCATGGGTCATGTGCAGTTTATGCCCTATCTGGGATGGGCACCTCGTGACTGTCCTGCAGCTGTTCTGCAGTACTGCTGTGAATGCCAGTGGGGCAGCATGTGGTTTTTAAGCATCTTTCCCAGTCCTGTGGGGCCCGTCTCTTCAGAGTGGCCCCTCTTCCTGCACTACTGTGAAGTGTACCTTTGGTTGTGACCTTCATTTCCTCCCTGCAGCTCCTGACGTCCTGGGGTGCGGGAGGTGACCGTGACGTGGCTGCTAGTGG